TGTAGACCATGCTGGCTTCAAACTCCCAGAGATCTGCCTGCCTCTGTCTCCTGAGTGCACCACCACCACCTGGCTGACCATGGCAATTCTTATAAAGGAAAACATTTAATTGAGTCTATTATCATCATGACAGGGATCATGGTGGTGTGCAGGCAGATGTGGTGCTAGAGCTGAGAGGGCTATATCTTGCATGGAACAGGAAGTAGACTGACACACTGGGCAGGGTCCTGAGCATAGGAAATTTTAAGGCCTGCCCCCCAGTGACACACTTCCTCCAACAAGGGTATACCCACTCCAAAAAAGCCAACCTTCTAATAGTGCCATTCCCTATGCAATTATGGGGTCAATTACATTCAAACTACCACACTTGGCTACAGCTTGATCTCCACGGAACTGTGTGGCTATGCCTAACGATAGGCATGTGTGGTTGCTAAACCCAGGAAGTAAGCCAGTACTGCTGACTCAAAGAGCCTCGATTCATTCTTTTTAGGAACCCCTCATCATACAGCATTATGGGCAAATCCCTATACAGGACATGGAGGTGAGCTGGTCAATTAAGGCATACAAATCATGACCTTGCCTGTGACATACAGACAGACAAGGGGAAAAAAACAGAGAGCTAGACTACATGCTAGTTACATGTCAAAAATGTTTAAGAGAAAGCATGAGCAACATCCGAAGGCTTTTTCTTTCTTCCTTTCCTGGGGATGTGGCTCAGTGGCCTCCCCCCAGTCCTGTGCAAAGGAAAAAGATGAGTTCGTCTGGTAGAGAGCTTAGCAGGTAAAGGTACTTCCCACCAAGCCTGTTGACCTGAGTGCAATCCAGAAACCCACACAGTGGACGGAAAGAACCGATTTCTAGAAGTTGTTGTCTGACTTTGCAAGAATGAAGGCTTGAATTCAACCACTGTATGGAGGCACGTGCTTGTCAGTCCACAACTGGGGAGGTGGAAACAGGAGGATCCCAGAGCTCACTGGCTAGTGTCTAACCAACAAGAAACCCTGTTTCGAAGGAGGTGGATGGTGTTCCTGAGAGGATATCCAAGATTGTCCCCTGACCTCACACTCATGCACACACATACATAGATGTGCACATACACAAACAGGAACACATGCATGTATACTTTTTTTTTTTTTGATTTTCGAGACAGGGTTTCTCCATAGCTTTTGGTTCCTGTCCTGGAACTAGCTCTTGTAGACCAGGCTGGCCTCGAACTCACAGAGATCCACCTGCCTCCCAAGTGCTGGGATTAAAGGCGTGCGCCACCACCGCCCGGCTCTTTTTTTTTTTTTTTGTTTTTCGAGACAGGGTTTCTCTGTGGCTTTGGAGCCTGTCCTGGAACTAGCTCTGTAGACCAGGCTGGTCTCAAACCCACAGAAATCTGCCTGCCTCTGCCTCCCGAGTGCTGAGATTAAAGGCGTGTGCCACCATCGCCTGGCACTATATCTATTCTTTAACTCCATCAAAGACTTCAGACAGCTATAATATTACCTAAGTAAACAGGAAGTGCATTGTAAGCAACTTCCAAGAGAAGACAAGAGAGACAGGTAGCTCAAATGCAGCGGACCTTATGGCTCCTGCCTGAGCAGGAGCTTAGCTTTAGTTAAGTGGAGGTTAATTAGGCAGCTGTCTGTCAGTATAGCAGGTCTGCCTTGGCTAATCATCTTACAGGAGAAGAGATTCATCTGGCCTACAGTTTTGGAGGTTCCATTTTGTGATTAATTGCTCCCACTGTTTTTGGGTCCAAAGCAAGGGAGAACATCATTATGGAGGGGTGGTGAGTGAGACTTTGCATTTCATTCCCAGTACGCAGAGCAGGGATGTGTAGCATGACTTCTAATTATTCTTTTTAAATAATTTTATTTAAACTTATTTTATTTATTTATTTATTATGTATTCAATATTCTGTCTGTTGTATGTATGTAATGGGGGCAACAGACCCCATTACAGATGGTTGTGAACCACCATGTGGTTGCTGGGAATTGAACTCAGGACCTTTGGAAGAGCAGGCAATGCTCTTAACCTCTGAGCCATCTCTCCAGCCCCTAAACTTATTTTATTTTTAAACAATCTTTTATTTTACATACCAATTTCAGTTCCCTTTCCCTCCGCTCCTTCCACTTCCCCTACCTTTCTCCCACCCTCTAATTGTTCTTAATAATAGAAACTCGGAGTCATATATTAGGGGGCGAAAGCTAAAGGATCAGAGAAGCAGAGCACTCACTACAGAGCTCTTATCTCTACCAATGCTCAGACCTCAAAAGGGGCGATCCTGTCTCTACGAATCTCTGTAGCTACACAGAGAAACCCTGTCTCGAAAAACAAATTTTTTGTTTTTATTGGCATCCTGGCCCTTCCACCGCATGCTTCTTTGTCATAAGCCTAAAGGTAACAGGTCCAAGTCTCCATGAACCAAAAACACTCTCTCTCTCTCTCTCTCTCTCTCTCTCTCTCTCTCTCTCTCTCGACAGGGTCTCTCTAGATAGACCTGGCTGTTCTGGAACTCACTATGTAAACCAGACTGGTCTCAAACTCACAGAAATTTGCCTGCCTCTGCCTCTCAAGTGCTGGGACAAGGTGTATGTGCCACCACACCTGGCTAGGAGTATTGTTTGACATTAAAGAAATGAAACACTGTTGATGTGCTGCAAGACACATGAATCATGGGGGCCAGATGAGCAGATTGTTTGTGATGGTGCACACTGGTAGACAAATGCTGAAGAGAGTTCAGGAGCCACGGAATCTGAGCTCCATCTGGGCTACACAGAAAGAATAAAGGAAAGAAAGAGGGCTGGAAAGTTGGCTCAGTGGTTAAGAGCATTTGCTCCTTACAGAAGACCTGGGTTCAGTTCCCAGGCCCTGTGTGTGGCTCATCTGTAACTCCAGTTCCAGAGGATCTGATACCCTCTGCTGGCCTCCTCAGGCACTACACACATGTTGTGTACATACATACATGCAGGCAAAACATATGTATCCATAAGGGAAAGCTAAAAAATAAAGATTTATTAAGAAAAAAGAATATGGGAGGATGGAAGAGAAAGAAAATACAAGAGAACGTGAGAAAAGAGGAAGAGTCACTGGAAGTAGAATATTTGCTTTATTTGTTGTGAAAGGTGCAGTGTAGGTGAATCCATGGAGACAGAAGGCAGATTAGTTACAGGAGGTAGTGGCAGGAAGAGGAGGGACATTTAGTGTGTTGGAGGGTTCCTTTCTTGGGTGATTAAAATGTTCTGGAATTAGAGAGCAATGATGTTAATCAGCTATAACTATCTTACAGCCATTGTATACTTTAAATGTGTGATTTAATCTGTGGTTACATGGCAATTACGATGTTTTTAAAAAAAAGACAGTGTAATTAGCATCAGCGTTAACTAGGGGTCCAGAACAGCTCACACAGAATTCCTTTCCTGAAAAGTAGAAAGCCTTCCTGAAAAGCCTGCAGACTTCAATTTTAGTCCCAGATTCTTTGCGTATCTAGTAGTCATGGTCCCATTTTTCGCATGTAGCAAACAAATTGTAGCTATTTTAGTCACTTCTCGGCCTTCCGACGAAGACCAAATGTAACTCTTTTAGGCTAGAGTGGAATGTTTAAGATTATCGTTCAACTAGAAGTAGCTGTGCACTCCTAATCCTAACACTTGGGAGGGTGAGGCAGGCTGATCTCTGTGAGTTCGAGGCCAACTCAGTTTACATAGCCAGTTCCAGGCCAGTGAGACCCTGATACAAATAATAAAGAGACATAAATAAATGGTACCGTTCGATAGTCTGTGATGGCGGCGCACACTCCAGCGTCAGGCAGGAGGATTTCAAATTTGAGACAATTTGAGATACATAGCAAGATTCTGTTTAAAGAACAGTTAAGAACAAGATTATGGCTTTTGTACGCCAGACAATATATATTTTGTGGCCAATTCCGGATTTTCATGGTACTGTTACTTTGCTCAATTTAGACACATTTTGTGTTTTTTTTTTTTTGATTTTTGAGACAGGGTTTCTCTGTAGTTTTTGGTGCCTGTCCTGGAACTAGCTCTTGTAGACCAGGCTGGCCTCGAACTCACAGAGATCTGCCTGCCTCTGCCTCCCGAGTGCTGGGATTAAAGGTGTGCACCACCACCGCCCGGCTAGACCTATATTGTAAAGAAGTTTTTGTCGGGCTGAGCCGGCTGCACAATGGGCTTCCTTAAGAAGCTGTTCAACCGCACGCCTTTAATCCCAACACTTGGGAGGCAGAGGCAGGCGGATCTCTGTGAGTTCGAGGCCAGCCTGGTCTACAAGAGCTAGTTCCAGGGCAGGCTCCAAAACCACAAAGAAACCCTGTGTCGAAAAACCAAAAAAAAAAAAAAAAAAAAAAAAAAAAAAAAAAGAAGCTGTTCAACACATTTCTCAATCATTTGAAATGTCTCTCATCACTGACACTTTCAGACTGTATCAGTACTCTCGAGCACAAAGAAGAGCGCCTCTCTAAAAGAACAAGGTAAAATAAAATAAATTAAGTTCCTATTAGTTTTCTTCCATGGGCTTTCCTGGGGGAGGGGAAGAGCGCAACAAGGCATCTGCAGCCTGGTGCAAACACGCTCCCCGCAGAGAGCAAACGTTTCTCCGATTCCTCTCTTCTCCTAGTTTCTGCGGCAGCTCGCAGCATCCAAGAGGTGCGGGTGGCCCGATTCCCACGTCATTAGACAGCAAACCCGCATAGCGAAAACCCTAGGGGCCAAGAAAAGCGACCCCGGCAAGACCGAGCCTACCCGAGCCCCGCCCACCGCGCCCCTCGCCTCCGCGCGGTCTCCATGGAAACGCACCGCCCCGCCTCCCTCCCTTCTTAGCCTGGCAGCTCCCCTCCCCCCTCCCCCTCCCGCCTGGCGCGCTGGAGGGAGGGGGTGGGGCAGGGGGCGGGGACAGGATGCAGGGGAAGAGGAAATCGGCGGCGCGGATCCCGTCGCTTATTGGCTGCCGCGTCCGGGCGCCAGAAGCCCCGCCTCCCCAGCGAGGGTCACGTGATCCCCTTCAAAGATGGCCGCCCTGTTGTTTTGATGAATAATACTTGGTGGGGCGAGGGGGTAAGAGTAGGGTTGGAGGGGTAGGAGGATTCACGCTCTCAGCGAGGGCTTCGCCAGTCCAGTCCCTCCCCTCCCCCCACCAGGGTTCTTGCGTGGAGGCGGGGCGATCCTGGCCTGCTTTTTAGAGGGGAGGGGCTTCCCGGTCCAGCGCTCTAGCTGGGCTGCTGTAGGGTAGCGGCGCCTCGGGGGCATCCAGCGTGCAGCAGAGCCGTTCCCGCCAGGGGCCAAGGGTGGGACCCGGAGCAGGGTCTGCGGGAGAGAAACGCAGCTGCCGCGTCACCGCCACGAAGACACGGGGCGCAGCGGCACGAGCCGAGCTGGAGACCGCGCCGCCCGCTCTGGGTAACCTGGGAAGCTAGGGGAGTCCGTGGAGCCTGGAGAGGACCCCGTAGCTGCGGTCGTGGCCAGAGGAGGCGGCTCAGGGCGCTTGCAGCTGGAGGAGGTTGGGGCCATCTGAGCGACCGGAGCCAAGGCGGTTCAGTGCCTCGTGTTCTTAGTTTTTAACCTCTGACTATGCAATTCTGAAACCTCCCCCATTGGGGGGGACCAGACAGCTCGCTAGATACCTTCCCGTCTCCTTTGCTCCCGCCCTGATCTCAAGAACTGAGGATCTCTTCCCTAACGCCTTTCACCATTAAGAGGAAAGCGATGGAGGAGCTGAGCGCTGACGAGGTGAGGAGGCTGGGGCGTGGGGGGCGGGGGGGGCACCTTGAAAGGATTACTTGGCAACTCTTTGGCGCTTTGGACGGGGACGATTTTGCCCTAGTGGTGTCGGGCTTTTGGGATGGGGAGGCGACGGAGATGACATTTTCAAGAATAATGAGATATTATGGGAGTAGTCCATTCATCATCAGGTTGGTTGTATTGTAAGAAGCCCTTGCTCTGCTTTGGGCTACGGTCTCCTCAGTATGTTTACTCAATCTCTAAAATACTCCAGGGATAGAGAATGCGGGACCCCGGAGAGGGCCTCATGTTTTCTTCTTCTTTATTCTCTTTCCTTGTATCTTCATTCTGAACTCCACTTGCTTTTTTCTTTTAGGGTCTGAAGACAAGGAGAACATCTTGAAGGTGTTCGGTCTTTTTAAAAGGGTTTTCAAGAAAGAGGGCAAGATTTAGATCATGGTATATTGTGTATGCCTGTGTCTTTAGAGATTTAAAGAACACTTTTACCATAATATTTAATGATTTTAAAAGGAAGTATTGGAAATCCCAGATACATGTGGCCATTTCATTGTATAAGTTGATCAAAGGTACCTTTGTGTTTGAGAGGTAGTTACAGATTCCTTGATATTGAACAAAGTGTATATCCTTAATAGTTTAAAAGATTCCAGTTAAATCGTAGTAATTTTAACAGACTACTAATGACTGCTGGTCTTCTATTTTACTTTTTTTTTTTAACTCCCCTCCCCCTTAAACTTGGGTTGTGCTGTGTATGATTGTCTGAGAAGCAGTGGCAGTTAAGGCACAAGGCATTTCCTGTGAGGTTGACTTTTCCCATCTTTCTACAAATTGAAGGCCTTCTTTTCAAGACCCTCACTGGTTTCATTTCTTCCACTGCTTCATGTAAACTTCCCCTGCAGTATATGAAAATAGTCATCTGTCATCAGGTTGTTTGGAAGAGGTTCTTTTTTTTTTTTTTTTAAATATTTTATTTATTATGTATACAATATTCTGTCTGTGTGTATGCCTGCAGGCCAGAAGAGGGCACCAGACCTCATTACAGATGGTTGTGAGCCACCATGTGGTTGCTGGGAATTGAACTCAGGTCCTCTGGAAGAGCAGGCAGTGCTCTTAACCTCTGAGCTATCTCTCCAGCCCTGGAAGAGGTTCTTGCTCACTTTTGGCCATGGTCTTCTCATGTTTGTTTAGTCACTAAAATTCTCCAGGGATGGAGCCTGCACATGGGTGGGTGGGTGAAGGGTCAGGTGGGAAAAGGAACAATTTTGAGGATTGTGATACTTTAGTTGTTAAGTCATTTTGTGTCAACTAACTTGGTTTTCCTCAATTACAGCAGGAGTGTAATCTTAAATCAGAAAAGTCTTGAGCAGTTTCAGAAAATACTGCCTTGGAAACATCTGGTATTTTTTTTTAAGTTTTTAAAAGTGTTCTTCGATTTTTCTTTAATTTTAAAAATACACAATCTGTGCTTTTCAGTAATCTTACTTCCAGAAAGTACTGTTTTTTTTCTTCTGACCTCTAAATAGTTTGTGTTTTAGAGGTCTTTACAGATTTGAGTTTTTACTAATTTTTTTTCAAACCATAAAGTATACAGACTGGCCACAGATACTGTGTCAAAGGTGTCTTTTCATTTTGCTTAGTTCTTGAGATGGTGTAACTCTCTTAGTGACCCTGAAAGGAATACATATAATCTTTGTGGAAGAAATTTTTCAAGGTCAACAGGACACTAAAACATTTATGAAAAATTAAATTCACCAGTGAAGGATTAGTATAAAGTTAACGTCAGCAAATTAGTTGGCCTGACCACAATGGCAGTATAATAAGTGGTCTTTTTTCCCCCTCATTAGAAGCTAGACCAGAATCTCTTTATAAAGTTGTTTTTTTTTTTTTTTTCCTTTTCTTCTTTTTCCCTTTCTTGCATCTAACTGGGTAGCCCTGGCTGGCCTCCAACTCAGAGATATCCCTGCCTCTGCTATGAATGCTGGGAATTAAGTTGTGTACCAACTTGCCTAGCTTTAATCCAGTTTCTTTAATACTGGGTTATATACATTTCTCAACAGATAAGTTTCCAAAGGTTTTTTTGCCCTTGTATTGTTACTTTGTTAGTAGAAACCTGTATCACAGATACTGCAGGTGATGTTGATTTGGATTTGGTTAAAAGATAACACACATGTGTTATTGACTGTTGAAGGATAGCTTCAGAATTAAACCAATCATGCCAGCGATTCCCTCATCTGAAGTTAGGAAACTGGGTTAAATCAGAGTTTCATATTTTAACAAAATGAGAATATTTGTGAATATTTTCACAATACAGGCTAGAAGAATAAAAACTGGTTTAACCAGACTAGGTCCCTTTTTCATAGGTCACCTTGGATTCTCTTCTTTTTTATGCGTATTTGAAAGGGTTGTTGGCCTGCGTTGCTGCGTGCTCTACAGTGAGCTCTGTACTCCGCAGAACAGAGCCGGGACTAAGTTCAGCCTCCTTTAACCTCCTTACATTCCACAGCATCATCGTTTGCATTGTGTTCCTGCTACTCACGTGTTCTTGTGGACCCAGGCAGTGCTGCAAGAAGGGCAGGGCTTTTCAGCTGCTTTTTAGCAGTGGTGATGAAATTGCCTTGAAATGATTTGTACCTTTTCTCCCCCTTTTTCTCTTGTAAATCTTTCTGACCTACTTCTGAGAGATGGTTGCCTGGGACTCAGGGTGTGGTCAAGGTTTAGAAGAGTTAAGTGTTATTCCCAAATGTATCATATATGACCTTGGAGTTTTTTAATTTATTTATTTATTTATTTATTTTTTTTGGTTTTTCGAGACAGGGTTTCTCTGTGGCTTTGGAGCCTGTCCTGGAACTAGCTCTGTAGACCAGGCTGGTTTCGAACTCACAGAGATCCGCCTGCCTCTGCCTCCCAAGTGCTGGGATTAAAGGCGTGCGCCACCACCGCCAGGCTTTTTAATTTATTTTTTAAAATCATATTTATCAGTTTTTTTGTTTGTTTGTTTCGTTTTGTTTTGTTTTTTGAGACAGGGTTTCCCTGTAGCTTGGAACTTCTGGAACTAGCTTTTGTAGACCAGGCTGGCCTTGAATTCAGAGATCTGTGTGTGTGTGTCTCTCTCTTTTTTTTTTTTTGTCTCCCGAGGGCTGGGATTAAAGGTGTGTGCCACCACCGCCCCATGGATTTTTATTTTTATTTCAGGGTGTGGCTATATATTCCATGCTGACCTTAGATTTGTAATCCTCCTGCCTCAGCTTCCCAAATGCTGGGATCACAGAATAGCAGTGTTCTCTAAGTGGAAAAAGATTGACAGTTGTGAACAGCCTTAGAATCCTGCACTTTGCATGGTGTAGCCATTGTTTTATTTGGTAAAATAATTCAATGAAGTAGGAACCAGTTTGTATATTTTATAGGTGAGGAAACAGATTTAGGTTAAATAACTTGGCAAAAGAGACCTGGTTTAGAAGTCACATGGTTAGAATTCAAACTCCAGGCTCCGGATTCCCAAGCCCCCTTCTTTATTACATTTCACTGTTTACCAGTTGGCCATTGACTGATCACAGCATCTGTATAAATATCCTATTACCATTATCTCGCTGACACTCCCAGTTTCTGTAAAGCGGTGTTTTTTGTGAGTACATTTATAATGTGGTCTGGTCCTTTTGGAATTGACTGATGTGCAGTAATGTTCCCTCACCAATTCCCCCTAACCCAGCCTCAAGTGGTTCACTCCATAAGTTAGAGGTTTTGTTGGGGGATGGAGATAGGAACCTAAAATGTACAATATATAGGGGCTGGAGAGATGGCTTAGCAGCTAAAAGCACTTGTTCTTGGAGAGGACCCAGGTTCAGTTCCCACCAGCCACATGGTGGCTTTCAGACATCTGTATCTCCAGTCCCAGAGGGGTCTGGTGTCCTCTTCTGACTTCTCCAGGCACCAGGCACATATGTGGTCATATGCACATATGCACACAAAATACTCATACACATAAAATAAAACATAAAATTTATTTTAATGTACAGTGTAGCTGTGTGATGTCACTTGCAGATGAGACACTCAGAATAGGAAGAAGGGACGCCCTGTGGAATGAGGTCTTAATTAAGACATTAGAAAAAGGTTATGTTGTGTTTTTGCCCCTGAAGTACTGGGAGTTGGGTGTGAGTACTGGGAGTTGGATGTGAGGGACAGGAGCTCTAAAAACAACACCAAGTCATGGCGCTGGGGCGGTTGGAATTGTTTGCTGGTGGCACTGGCTGTCATCAGCCTTGGAGAGCTGTCTGAAAGTTTCAGCTCTCTGTGAGACTGTGATCTCTCCCCTGCAGGGTGTTAAGGCTTTAAGATGACTGGTAGGAGGCTGTTGTTAACCATGTGTCAGGCGGTAGAGCTCCATGGGATGGAGATATTGACAGTGAGACGTGGGGGCGGGCACACACACCAGGCGTTGATGATGGTGAGACGTGGGGGCGGGCACACCAGCATTGATGGTGAGACGTGGGGGCGGGCACACCAGCATTGATGGTGAGACGTGGGGGCGGGCACACCAGCATTGATGGTGAGACGTGGGGGCGGGCACACCAGCATTGATGGTGAGACGTGGTGAGCGGGCACACCAGGCATTGATGGTGAGACGTGGTGAGCAGGCACACCAGGCATTGATGGTGAGATGTGGTGAGCAGGCACACCAGGCATTGATGGTGAGACATGGGGGCGGGCACACCAGCATTGATGGTGAGACGTGGGGGCGGGCACACCAGCATTGATGGTGAGACGTGGGGGCGGGCACACCAGCATTGATGGTGAGACGTGGTGAGCGGGCACACCAGGCATTGATGGTGAGACGTGGTGAGCAGGCACACCAGGCATTGATGGTGAGATGTGGTGAGCAGGCACACCAGGCATTGATGGTGAGACATGGGGGCGGGCACACCAGGCATTGATGGTGAGACATGGGGGCGGGCACACCAGCATTGATGGTGAGACGTGGTGAGCAGGCACACCAG